ACAAGCGAGTCCTACGAATGCCAAAGCTACACGCGTTTAACAACTAGACCCGACTCGGGTCGTTATCAAAGGAAGGCTATTCGGAGCTTCGTTCACTACCTAGTCGTCAAAGTCACATAACCGAAAACAAGGTCCTACACATTCTACTCGCTTGATGGGATTTGATTGCACGAAATTAAACTAAGAATCTAAGAGCAAATGATGAATGATGTAAGATTGGGGTAGGTGCCAATTTGTCTATATGAAGAGAGAGAGAGAGAGAGAGAGAGAGAGAGAGAGTAATGTAGTTGTTTATACAATGATTAAAATCAATAGGTACTTTATTTAAGTATGAAGCCCAGACCAACTGAAATTCCCGATCACCTCGCATATTGATGTAAAACCACTAAGGCTTTATTAATTCTCGGGTCCACCCATCCCTTATGGAAGGCTTCCCGAACCATGGATTTTCCTTCCTTTTCTTTTGCCGCCTTTCGCGCAAAGGCTCCCGGATTCCATTATCAAGAAGTGCATCCACGGCTTCTTGTATTAACTTCTCCTGAGACATTACTAATTCTTCTGGCATAAATTTACTTGTTGTTAATAGATCGGTAAGAATATTGTTCCGATAGATAACTCTTCTATAGAGTTCAGTAATATCCAAGCTCATAAATTCGCCTTTCCAAAGAATCCTTTATTTCGGGTTTCAGAAAAAAGGGTATTTCTTGATAGTGAAGAAGAGATCTTAATTTATCCGAATTACTAACTTGGATTTTGGCTCGCTTCGTTTGTTGGGTCTTTGCTACTTGGTTTAGTTGCTCGCTCGTAAGCCGGATTCTTTTTCCTTGGGCCAAAATAAATAGTTGAGAAAATGTAGAAGGAAAAGGAGGAGAAAGCATTACAGAATCTCCAAGATGATTTTTGGAAAAAAAAAAAGAGAATCAGCAAGGACCACCTTGTAAGGCTAAATACTCCTGGGTGACCGATAGCGAAGTAGTACCGTCACCGCTAAGGAGCTTCGCTTGCTAGAAGACTTTTTCTGCAGAAATCGGGATCGGGATACTGATATTGGGGCTACATGGGTCATCGTCCCAGACTGACTCTCTCGCGCAGAAGCTTTCCCGAGTTGACGACGCGCAAGGTCAAGTCCTGCCCCGATAGAAGTACAGGAACGCCAGTAATCTAGAAGCCAATTAAACCCAGGTTAACTGATTAAACTGCTAATCGTAACTCTCCAGTGGGTGGGCTACTCTTACCTCCTGCCCTACCTACTACTAACACTACTGCTAAGCGGAAGGCATTCTACCCAATAAGGCTGATACTTCGGACCCTGCTTGGACGAAACGGAAAATATTGTCAATAAATAGAAGTACGTTTTCGTCCCATGTATCGCTATTGGATTCCAAAGACTCAAGCTGAACACATCTTTGATCCACTCTACGAACTGAAAGCAAAATCTCGCAAAACAAGCACGCAAGAATGGGAGGATTTTGTAATTAAGGGAGCAAATGGAAATGCTGGTTTGGTAGAGAGTAGTCTTCAGGTCAATTATATCGAGTCTGACAGCCTCTTTTATGTATCGAATCGGTTGATCCGGCTTCCATAGATCAGGAGATCAGTCAGGCAAGGAAAGTTACCAGATTTGGAGGAATGCATTCTCCTGTCTTCAATTGGTTGACCAGCAGTATCTCGGGCTTTAACTACCAGAGCGTGATAAATATTAGGCATCTTGCCACCCAAAGTACCTCCCATTGATGTCCAATCTCTAACCAAGACCCTCCACTTTGAGAAAGAGGAATCGTCTGCAATCGCCTGAATCTCGAGACGTTCTTCGAGCCAATCATAGACTTTATTGAGATAGGTGCTTTATACAGAAGAGGGAGCCAAAAGAGTTTAGCTTGCTTCCTCGCTTCGCACTTTCCCACTTACAATTCTTTCTTTCACTCTTAGCATAACCCCTTGAAAGAGTTCCCGCACTGAGGGATGGGAGAGATGGTCTCTCTGTTCCAGCAAAAGTTGCTACTAGAAGGGGGTATAGTAATGCTATGAATGACCCAATATCGAATACTGGTAATAATATCAGCAAAAGAATGTTCTCCTGTGCTTCCAGACATGCTCAACACCACATATTCTTGTACAAAAGGGGACCGATTCCGTCAAAGATGAGATCAGCAAAAGCCCTGCTTTAGCCTCCCCCTATAACGAGCAAGTAAGTAAACTAGCTGACCCACGCTCCTCTCCAGGGAGTGATCAAGTCTTTCGACGGCCTTCACTGAACCGGCAACCATTCAGTCGAGGAGGTGAAATATCGCGTAAATGATAGCGTAAAGTAATGGAAATGTACAGTTCACTATTTGCGAGGATGAATCACAAGCAAGGGCTTACAGGTAAACAGTTTCAACTGCTTATATATTTATTTTCACGTAATTCTTGTACATAGGAAATGAAATTGAATTCTTTTAACAGCCAACGGAAAATGCCATTGTGGGGGATTTCCATCGAGATACCTAAGGGGGGCATT